TGTAGTCTGTACTAACAACTAATAATTCAGCTGTAGTCTGTACTACTATAATAGTTTATACCACGAGAAGGTTGAAACATTCAATGTGTTCCACATCACACATACGCCGCGCACTAAACATAAACAGTGATCATGTTTTATTTAATTTGCTGTTAAAGATTCAAGTTGGATAACTATACCGTGAGTACTGCGTTGCTACGACGAAGTGTGACTGTGATGGACAGATGGAAGGACAGACATATTTACTGTGGTACTGGTATTGAGAACGAGCTTAAAATTCTGGTCAGTAAAAAATTGGAAAAATACTAGATACTAGGAAGTCTACCTTCGTTATGTTAGGAACTATAGAAGTGCTGCGGGCTGCCAGGAACTGCACATGGTCTTAAGATTCATAACTCCAGGTGCAGCTGATAGTTGTTTCTCTCTTTCTCTGATTATGGTTCATTTGTGTGATCTGTTCGTGTGATTCATGTGACTTGTAATACTTTGTTCGTCTAGAAGCGGACACTTCAATTATGATGTCTTACTTCTAGACTTTAATGTTCCCTTTTATTTTTCGGACTCTTTACAAATACTCAATTTAGTTCAACTCTAACTGGATTTACAATCGCCTATGACTTATAGTTTCCAGTATTTATTATTACCGTCAAAGTTTACTTAATCTGATAACTCTTACAGTGGGTAGTGGGTACTTACTATTTATACTATTTGTATGTTTTTGAGATCAGACATTATTGCTAAACATTTCTTTAAAATATCGCTCAAAATCTTGTAAACACTATATTGTTAACTATACATATGCTTTATCTTGCACACTCCGTGTGCGACTACACATATCAGAACAAAAGTTATACTGCCTTGACCAATGATGAGCCCATTAGTTTCGTAACTGCTTTGTCTCTGCACTGATGTAACCATCGCCTGATACCCTTATAATACCCTTATAAGGGCATACGATCATGTTAAGACTTAAGATGATCTTATAATTAGACTCTTACATGATATTGTTATCTTGAGGTGTACTGCAATAGTGATTTAATTGTGGAACATCTACCTTATAAACGGTTGAGTGTGTTTTATCACCTTAATAACACCAGAATGTGTGTGTGTGTGTCTGTCTGTCTGTCTGTCTGTCCGTGTGTAATTTCCGGTCGGTTATACAAAAAAAACGGTAAGAGTTACGGGACTGATTTTTTCGGTATAGTGTCGACAAAACTCTGATGAAGCCCATAGGAAATTTTTTTAAAAATCGGCCGATGGTAAGTGGTTTAATTGATGGTTTTGTACCACAAATGTTACATAAAATTGCGTGAGCAGAACGGCAAGAGTTACGGGGCTTGCTCTCTCTCTCATTACTGTGTAATATGTTATAGCTGCATTTAAGTAGCGTCATAATTGGATTAGCCTGGAAGATTCGCTGTAATGTTATACCTTAAGCTTATTAGGGGAGGGGGGACTGTTAGTGTTTGGGGTCTGTTTGGACTGCAGAGAGAGAGAGAGAGAGAGTTCATACGACAATGTTATGCGTGTTTTCAAATATAATATGCGGGTGTGGTGCGGAGTTAACAAGGGTTAATTTCTATAACGATTTAAATAAAAATAGAAAGCGGTTCAAGACGGGAGTGATGAGGTGTAATACTCGGTGTTCAGACCTTATGATCATGGAGTGTGGTGCCTCATGGCTAATAATGACTTAATTATCCACAAGAAATAACTGATTATGAGATTATTGTTTAAGAAACTATTGGGTCACCTAATGCGGGTTTTGACTCAGCGGGTAATTACTCCTACCCTTTTTAACTGCGGCAGTGAAATCCCGGCCGTAGGCCGGGTTACACTAGTATTTGAATAAGTTCGTAATCTATATTAGATAGATTACGGGTGAAATTGCAGTACGGTGAGATACCAAACACCGCGACCGTGTTAGGAAGTGAATTTCATACAATCTGACATAACATTGATGTAGTAAAGATTCTATATTTGTAAACCTTGTAAACCTTCATTCTCCTTTTTATTTGGCTTTCAAAACTCAAAAGCTCGTTTCGAATTTTTAGAATGCCTAATGCAGATACCGATTCATCTTGTCATTGATTTATTTGCTTTTCATTGACTACTTTATTGAGACTTCTTTTTTATATGAATTTAGAAAGAAGTTGACAGAGTTGAAATGTAATAGTTGTACAGTAAACGGTATCATTAATCATACCTTAGGTTTCAATATGTAACTGCGTATAACACTAGTGTGTTATGTAGGGTACTTACCTGGTGAAGTGTTTTTCTTCTATTATTAGTCACCATCTTTTGTTCTTGTAGGATCACTAGGATCTCTACTAACGCTGGACGACACGTTACCCTGTTTTGGTGTACGGGTCCTCCACAACCAGATACGGATACCTCCTAATATAACATAAAACAAAATACCAATTATACTCTGTAATCAATATAGTCACCTGATACCCTTATAAGGGCATGTGATGTTAGATCACGTGATGTGGTGTAACGAAGTTAGTTGAATGTGAACAGGTGGTGTCATTACTCGGAACACAATGAACTGTGCCAGCTCCTTACACTGATCTACAGTTGCTCAAGTGGACATTTTATATTCATAGTCGTTAGCCATATTATTTGGCATTTCGCCATTTTGGCAACTTCCGTGTTGCTACACTTTTCGGCAATGTTTCTGTAATTAAGAGTAGGGAAAGGTTCGTGCTTTTTTATTTTTCAAACCCCGATAAATCTGATGATTTTTTGTTCTTACAACGAAATATTTGCACCAAATTGACGTAAAACATATGATTTTATCCGTCCCAAAAGATTTGTTGTTGGATATTAGTATTTGGCTACACAGTACAGTGGATTGTTTAATAAGCATATCGAGCCGTGCGAGTGTGATATCAAGAGTTGCCACACCGTTTTAATTTTAACGGAATGTAAACCACGAACCATTCGGCATGGAAATAGGCCAGCATAGCTGAAAAATTACTTCGACTTTGGATTTGGTGGAGAGAAGGAGGTCTAGTGATGATAGTCGCTCGAGCCAGTCATTTTCATACTTTACCCACTTTGTTGAATTCTTATAGCGTATCACCTTGTCGTCTTGAGACCCTCAGTTTACTCGCTATCTTAGATAACAACTTCTCAGGGCTTTTCATTATTCATGCGATGCTCTAGATTAGGTTTTCATTTTTGGGATTCTATGTTACATTGCATTGTCTCATAGTGTAATAACTTAATAAGACCCCTGATTCGATATAATTCGTTATCATTGGCCAGTCGTGGGATTTATTATTATGTTGATGAATAATAAACTGGTGATATGAACTGTAACATCACCCTGAATCCTGATAATATTCTAATTTGAGGGGTATCAGTTTCTCTTATCATTCCCTCTGTGAGACAGGAACCACACAGCACCTTCTCTGTGAGGTAACGTATTATCAGGATCTGGTTAATAAGCCCGGTAAAGGGGGTGTTCTATTTCTAGTGCCCCTTAAAACTGCTCACCCTCAATTAGGATACTAGAACATTGTGACAGTGTAGAACATTAGAACATTGTAGAACATTAGAACAGAGTCTCGGGAGGACAGCTGTGCCAGTTTCTTGATCTTTGTTAATTAAATTTCTGACTTGCTCTATTTTTTGGCTTTTGCTCAACAAGGTACACGTGGATTGTGATGTGAGAATGCGATATGTTTTGTTTACCCATTTTATAGTTATCAGTATTGAGTTGTTCGACACTTTTCTCTTCTTTCTTTGGCTCCAGTGAGAGATGTGGAAGGTAACGGAGAAGCTGGTGGTAGTTAGTTTGACACGTGGTAGCGTGTATTGGATTTGATTGGACGACACGGTAACCAATACAGATAACCATGTCGGTAGAGTTTGTCCCAACTTCCTTCACTTTCAGTAACATAGGCAAATAGCTTTGTCTCATAAGACCAGATCAAGCGGCTAGCTGATCGGCAAATCACCCTCACCTGCTGAAACAGACTCCACCACCTTCTATTTGGGAGTCCCTCAGTCCCTAATAGTTATTGCTTGCTACACGTTGCAGTAGTCCTCATTCTCCTCACGTCCGACAATTGCGTTTATTTTGTCGCTAATAATAATATCCCTTTAAGCCTTTAGTGCACGTGAAGCGTGCACGCCACCCGGCCGGCGCGCGCTTCGCGTGCGAAAAAATATAGGTATGCAACGTACGTCATGTATAAGAGTATAAGCAAGCTATTGCGATTGGTTTATGTACTGACGTTCGTAGAATAGTTTAGTCAATTAAATGATTAACACAGCCTTAACATATGCCAATATAGATCTCTCCCTCTGTAAGTGTGCATGTAATTGTATTTACACAAACTTAATACTTGTACTTACAGTGGTCCCTGTAAAGCTTGTACTTCGTGCTGTTTCCGTCTTTAGTTACTCTTTGTACTCGCGTACTGAGTACTCGAGTGTACATTTTGTTTATTTCAATGTGTAACGTTTACTTTCGGATTGGTTTATACTTTGCGTTAGTGGTATAGTTGAGTAGGTGTACTAAGTATATACCTAATCGTACATTGTACATTGTACTTCAACTTGTTATATAACAGCGATGCCTCTTCTACGACGAGGGAAGTTTTCAAATGCTATGTACAGTGTACACTATGTAGTTTAAACGGGTAAACTTCAAATGTATACCTCAAACGGTGGAAGGTCTGAATTCTTGTTATTGTGTTTAGCTATCTTCATCCGAAAGCTTAAATAATGAGTGCCCATTTTGGCAGAAAAATAAGGGACCAAATGAACAGGTTCCTTATTCTCTAATAGAGTTTTGCCCAGAAATTTGTAAATTTGTAAGAGAAGTAACTAGCCGTTAGCCGTAAGGTTAAATCTGAGATGAGTTAATAACAAAAATCACTCAGTCGCCTTTTTCGGACACCCCATGCATAGTGAGTCTGCAGCTTATATACTGCGTCATTACGGTTTAAATATAAACCACCTTACCAATTATAGATAATATCAATAATAAATGGTCTAGAGAATACACATAACACATAAACTGTAGAATTAGGATGGATTGAAGACGAGGACGATGTCGGTGGAGGAGGTGTTGAGGACGATGTCAGTGGAAGATGCTGGGTATGGTGACTTTTCGAAATTAGACTCAGACGATGACAAAGGAAAACAGTTCCAGGATTTAGTGATAAAGTTCAGCAACCTCCGTACTCTGTTGGAACCTGGAGCTGGGCGCTTTGGGGAGACCGCAGAAAACGATATTAGGCACAAGATAGGTAGGTTAATCGTAATGAAGATTAGAATTGAGATGATAATTATTTATTAGCACCAGGTTATAAGTCTAATTTTCTAGCATTCTCATTTTCTATTATTAATTTTCTCAATCCCCGACACATTGTTTGCACTCAAACAGCTCGTAGTCTAAATACTTGCAGATTTGTTTAAACTCGTATCTTTCACCAGCTAAGACAGACTATGCGGTTATAGTTGGGGTATCAACCCAGGATAACCTTCCTCTGGACTCTGTTGGAAAAGCGCCAGAAAACGACGCCACTGTCATGTCCGATATATGCAGATTACATCTTGGCATGAAGCCAAGTCGGGTAAAGCTCCTCACTTCACACAGAAAACGTCCGACCAGGGAAAATATCAGGAAGGCAGTGAAGGACGCACTGAAGACGACAAAAAGGGAGGACATGGTCCTGATATACTATAGCGGTCACGGACACACTGTTCAGGATGAGCACTATCTTGTTCCACAGGACTTCAGGTATTCCTATTGCATTTATTAAACCTTTTTTCTTCTTCTTTTCCTGGTTACGTTCACAACTATTTTGGCTTCACGTCAAGCTTCTCCTATAAAAACAACAAAAGAACTATACACTTTACAGCAATCATTAATCTAAAGTCTTTAAAATACCTCTGGTTTCAGAATGGAGGACACCCACGGGACAGGTATCTCAGCTAGGCACTTCTACAAATGGTTTTCAAAGTCAGACTGTCGGAGGATAGTCCTGATACTGGACTGTTGTTACGCGGAGAAGTTCACAGAAGCTTTCTACCGGGTGAGAGGTGATCAAGAGATGGACAAACATCTGTACCTGTTAGCCAGCAGTGAGATGTCACAACCTTCCGTGTCAGATGAGTCGTGGTTGGAGTACGGTTACATGACCTTCTTTATCAAACATTACTTTAACTTTGTCTGGTAAGTCAATAGAATAATGCATAATTTGTTTCATGTTAAAGAAGTTTGATAAAACCTGATCGCTAACATAAAAACGGGTTGCTTGACACAATTTGATAGCTCTGAAAACCCCGATAAATTTTGGTGTTTCTCAAATATTGATAGCTCTGATAACTAAAAATCATCTCCCAAACAAAGGTTTTACACCACTTAGACCATTATCTCGCAACAGTTCGACTGACGTTTTATTTCAGCGCCCCAGTTCATCAGGTGTCCATGTTGGGGCTAACACGTTTTATTAAGAAATATGCGGTACCTCTCAGTAGGTTTACTTACACAGTGGAGGATAAACAAGTACGTGGGGGGGGGGGGGGGGGGGGGTTCCTGGGGTTTTACGGGGTTTTATGGAGTTTTTATGGGATTTGAAATGATTTCATATCAATTATCATAATCTGTAATCTACAGTTCAAATAATTATAATGTATGTCATTGATTGACATCAAGGTTTCAAAGTCAAAAAGAAATTACACGGACAAATAGAGTTTACAAGGTTTGTTTACTTTAGTGGCTTTATAAACGCATAGTCAGGATGGAATGGAGTGACGCCCCCCACTAGCAGAATGGCAGTTGTAACAGACGTGCTCGCTAGAAGTCTACCTTTTGCTCACCTTACTTCTCCTTATGCCGATGTCTTCGACTCTGAACATTTCAAGTTGGAACCTCAATGGTATTAAAGGTAACATTCTTAGGAGAGAACATTTAGTAAGTGACGCTAAACGTTATCATTTCGATGTAGTATGTCTCCAAGAGACAAAATGCCGAGACTTCGAGGAAACAATTATTGACGGTCACAAACTTGTAACACTAGCACAATCAGACAATTGGTATCATTATGGTCTCGGTTTTCTAATCTGCCCAGTCCTTGTACCTTCTATCGTTGCATGGAGATCACTTAGTAACAGAGTGGCTTTCATTGATATAAGACTCACAGAACCCAACGGATCTCATCGTAGGATCAGGATCGTTAACGTATACGGACCAACCAAGAAGATTGTCGATGATGACATCAGTAAGGTCACAGGTAACTCCCCATTGTTACAATCATATTTCAATGATCTGAAAACTGCTATCAATATCCCAGCTCGGTACGATTTGTTTGTTGCTGGAGATTTTAATGCCCGACTTGGGAGATGCAGTAGGAAAGAGTATGATGCTGGCCTTAATAATCATATTGGTCAGTTCGGTAATGGTCTGAGAAACAGGAACGGTGAGTTTCTACTGGACTTTATTGTTGATAATGGTCTGTTTGCGTGCAATACTGCGTTCCAACACAGAGCGAAGTATATTACCACCTGGAAGGCTAGATGTGTTCCCAAGGGCAGACCCAAGGGTTCAAAAGACACTGTGAACTATTTTAAACAAATTGATTATATTTTATGTCGTACTAACTTTAAAGTCTGTTTAACAGACTCCCGCTCTTTTTGCGGTGATTTTGTGAAATCTGACCATAAACCTGTGGTCGCACGTTTTAAACTTGGTTGTGAATACATTGTACATAAGCGGCCTAAGTCTGACAAAATAAGGTTTGATGTCAATCGCCTTAATGATTCTGATATTAAGTCTAAATTTTTTGATTCTTTTAAAAGTGATATTGATTGTAGAGTTTTAACTAATAATGCTATTTCTGAAAATTCTGATATTTTTGGTATATTGAGTAAATGTGCCGTCCAGGTGGTTGGTAAAGTGCCCCCGGGGAAGCCTCATCAGTACAGCGACGATCCAACTGTCGTTAAACTTTCAGCAGAGAGAAAGTCCCTTCAGCAAGAATGTAGCCTCACAGGGATAAGTGACAGGAGTGACCTCAGAAAAAGAATCAACCATCTCAAACGTACCATCAAAAAGAGGTTGAAATCTATCAACGAGGCCACTGCTAACGCCCTAGTAGATGTCATCAACAACACCGACAGCTGCAGAAGCATGTTTGAAGCGAATAGAACTTTGGCCCAGTGTAGGATGAAGAAAGATGGAGTGACTGTCCACGATGCAGACGGCAACACCTTAGGATCTGACTCATTAAAAGCAGAAGCTATTAAAGAATACTTTAATAATGAGTTCAATGACAAAGATGAACCCCACCTCCCAGCATTCATAGACCCTCCTGGAAGCCTCCTCTGTCCCATAACACCTGAAGAAGTTGGCCGTGCTGTTATGAAGCTGAAATCCGGTAGAGCGTGTGGCCCTGACGGTATACCTAATGAGCTAATGAAAGCTGCTGGATATCCCCTCCACTATGAGTTGGCTAGGATCTACAATCTCTCCTTTGAGACCAACACATACATCTCAGCTATTGGAGAAGGTATCCTGACACCCCTTCAGAAGCCAGGAAAACCCCGAGGTCCGGTAAAGTCTATCCGGCCCCTCACATTGCTAAATGGAACTCGAAAAGTCCTATCCCTCGTAGCCTTGAACAGAATCAATTACCACGTTGATATGTACACTGGACCTTGGCAGGTGGCATACAAGCAGGGTCGCAGTTGTGCTGACCTGGTTTGGTCTCAGAGAATGTTGACATCAGTGGTTACCAGGCGCGAGTTTGAGTATAGTAAAATCAACATTGACATGACCGCTGCGTTTAATACCATCCGCAGACAGACCATCATCAACCTCCTCATTGATGCAGGATGCTCTAGAGACGACATTCGCCTGGTTCAGTACCTCCTCTCAAATACAAAGCTCAAGGTGACGGTCAACAGAGCTGAGTCTGGTGAATTCGTGATTAATATTGGAGCTTACCAGGGAGACAGTCTGGCAGGTAAAGTGTTTACATTGACCCTTGCCGGTGCCCTGAATCACATCAGAGCCGTGATCAGTGTCACAATTCCTAGACCAAACCCCCCAGTCTCTGATAGAGGCCTCCCGTTAGAGTCCGCCTATGCTGACGATGCTGAGCTTCTGAGTGAAGATGGTCAGAGTCTGGTGAAGATACTAGAGATTGCCAGTGACATACTAAAGGACTGGAGCCTCTTTGTTAACGAATCAAAGACGGTGTTTACAAGAGTGTATTTGGCAGAGACAGATGCTTTGGATGCCCATGGCAATAAAATCAGAGGAAATGAAGAGTGGCGAGAGTCAGTGCTATTAGGATCAAAGCTCTGTTCAGAAAGAGATATTGTCAACAGACGCAACAAAGCCAATGTTGCCTTCTACACCTACAAGAAAGTCTGGTTGAATAGTTCTGTTCAGATCAGTGAGAGTAGAAAGCTGAAGTTGTACGAAGCTCTTGTCACTTCAGTGTTGTTGTATAACTGTAGCAGCTGGGCTGCTCCTGAAACCGTAATGGCATCTGTCGACGTTCTTCAAAGAAAGCATCTGAGACAGATAATCAACACCTATTGGCCTACGGTTATCAGTAACGAGAACTTATATAAGAGATGTAATGTCAGTCCCCTTACTGAAAGGATCAAGAAAGCACGATGGAAGATGCTTGGGCACGTTCTCAGAAGCGGTGATGACACTCCCGCTTTCTTATCTTTTAGATTTGCATGTTTAGGATGTCTTGACTACAAAGGAAGGAGGGGCAGACCTCGTTCAAATTTATTTGATTTATTATTAAAAGACATTATGACGAAGAATATTATTGTGATTGTAAATAAAAGATTTAGTTTAAGTAATTTCAACGATTTAGTGTACAAAGCTCATGATAGACGCTTATGGAGAAGCTATGGGTGAGTCGAGACTACTCGGCCACTCGATTTTATGATTTATTTCCTATTATCTTGTGTTTGCTGTATATAGTTGATTAATAATAATAATAAACGCATCCAACAGGTAGAGCAAAGACCAGTACTAGCACACCTAGGGCCTGATGGTGAGGTGGAGACGGACGCTTCCTACTATGATCAGATAGACCCAGGTCTAGTAGACTACTGGTCAGGCAGGATCAGGAAGTCGTACGCTTATCAGTCCTGGTGGTATGAGCGGATGAAGGACGCCAAGGTATGCAGCCTAGGGTGCCTGTAGAATGTAGATTGTAGACCTACCTTTATCATGTGTTATATGTTACTTAATTTTAAGTGTCCACAGTATTTGTTCTCCTACTGAAATGTTAACGAACAGTCTGACTAAGCAAATTCAGTAATACCACGATTTACTGCGGACGTTGGGAAAAAGAAACAGCCACGGTAAATCGGAGTTTGCGGTAAATCGGGGTTTTACCGTACACTTAAAACCCTGTCCCCCTCACAGGTATTACTAAGTGAACCAACATTCAGCTACTCCCGCCTCTACTTCGCCATCTTCCTCAACGGTCTCAGCTCCCTCTGCATACTCCTCTGTGAGCGCGACAGTTTCCAGAAGGAGCTGGACACACACGAACAGTTTAACGCATTTGCTCTGGCTCTGGAGCAGCTGGTGACACGTGACCTAGAGGGTGTGACCCACTCAGAGTTTGAGAGATATGTTGCAGGGGAGGGGGTGTGTGATCCCCGGGGTGTGATACAGGGTGGGGTGTCAGAGGGGATAAGGTCTGTTAGTCAGCCTTCAGCTCCTCCAGAAACTTATGTTTGTACTGTTAACAGCACGTTCTGAATTAGAACAGTTTTAATTTATTCAATTTACCATTTTGGCGAGAATTTTGCGTTTGAGTGATATCCGCTAGAAAGTTGGCATTGCTGTTATCAGTAAGTTAGTTATAGTATTACACTTCGAATTGAAAGACTTGATTTTTGAAGAAGACCTAATATTATCATATTTTCACACTGCATGTCTATAATTATACGAATTTGAAAACACTAAAAATGTGAAAACGATCATATTGTTATAGGTTTTTTACCCGTGCGTAATACAAATATAATAACGTTCCAGTACATTAATTACAAATAGATACGACACTGCTCTGTTTAATCAGAGCTGTTGAAATTTTAGTTTTATATTTTAAATTTATAATTGTGATGCTGTTTAGTTCAGTTAATATAGAAATGATTTTTAACTTGTAAATTAAATAGTTAAAATGTTTAACGGTTAAGTTTCAATGTAAGATATAAGTACTTGATTCTAAATTTCAGAGCTTTTCAAATGCTTTATCATTGATCGTTATGATCGTGGTTTGTTCCGTGATATTGTAAATTCTTGATTCAATAATCATTCCATTACTTCATAATATGTCGTTTCAATTGTATTGTGCATAATTTCCAGCCAGTCACTAACTGAGTTAGCTCCGAAACCAGCTGTGGTCGACCGGGATCTGGACGACCGGGATCTGGTTCAATTTCCCGTCCTTTTTCACGGGATTCTTACTTTGAAAATTACTAAATCTTCACCAAATTTGGCCGCAGAGAAATTAAAAGAGACGCTAGCTCTAATTTATTAAATTTAATTAATCAATTGAATACAGAATATTTTTGATTACTTTATTGGACGTAATTTGGACTAATATTGCGTGAACGGACATATAAATTTTGCTAAAAACAATCACAACGAAAACAAAAACCGGTTAACATTTAAATTTTTACGACAAGCAAAACTAGAGTTGAGGAGCTAACAAAAGAATTAAATAAGATAATCTACTTATAAACTAAATATTGCGTGAACGGACATATAAATTTTACTAAAAACAATCACAACGAAAACAAAAACCGGTTAACATTTTAATTTTTACGACAAAAAAACTAGAGTTGAGGAGCTAACAAAAGAATTTAATAAGATAATCTACTTATAAACTTACAGTTACTTCTCTTGATTTCAGAGAAAATTTCAAATATGTAATAAATAGAACACGTTATCGATGAAACGTGCAGTGACGGTTTCAAAATGTTGCTGTTGAGCAAAGTAATCGGAAATGCAAACTATTTAGCATCATGGCATAATATGAATTATGACGATGATATTTAAATCTGTGACCCTTGATCCTATTCCTATGGAAAACTAGCTGAAATTAAATTGGCTACTGAATTTAGTTTTAGTCAGTACATTTCGTGTATTCTTATCTAAATTAACAGTTATTTGATAACAGTTTGATTATAAATGCTCCGATCACAAGAAATACGGAGAGGTGATGAGTGTCTGAACCGTTTCTGGTGAACTGGTATCTCTCTTGTCCCATTTCAAATTCTAAATTCTCAACCTGAAATCGTTCAAAGTTTTATTAACCCTCAGTTAGAGCTAATGACCATTTATCGACGATGCCAATATAATATTATGGTTGCACGCTGAATCAATTTCTTGATAGCTCCTTTATTTGCAAAAATCCATCCTCTTTTACAATCGATTAGGACAGAGATTAGAAAATTCATTATTTCAACTTGTAAATGGTAAGTGCATTAGCACATGACAAAATTAATTACAAATACAATGATGTTGTGAATTCACCTTATTAGCAGTTAAAGGCGCAGTCGGGTATATCAAGTAGGCTACCATCTTCTCCTTCTCGGGTAGGTTTAGAGGGTCTACCGGCATGTTCAGGATTATCTTTAATCTGTTTTCATTTTCTCCGGGTGTTCGGATTATTGTGCCGTTGGAATTGCCCATTTCAAACTGAAAGTGGATCTTGTTAAGTTCGTATCGCATTAAATAATATACTGAACCTTCTCAAATCCTTGCGATCTTAAAGTTAAACTATTTGTGGTTGGAGCTGGTTTTACCTTTAATTGAGAATCCTCCAGCTTCAATTTCATTGTCGGATAAACTGGATTTGAGTAATTTCCTGTGACATACTCAGCCTCTTCCACGGACAATGGTTTATCGACTATTTCCTCTTCCACCTTTCTCTTTGCCCCTTCAAAAGTGTCAGTGTTTTCTCCAATCCATGGTTTGGGGAAGGTACAAGCATTTTCTGCGTCCAGCCACACGTCTTGCTTCATCAACTTATCAAGCATGTAGCTGCAAAGTTGTAAAGTGCAAAAACAAATTATCATATTTGATATTGGGCTTCAGGGCCATGAGTCCCCGCCAAACTCCTCCTCCCCATAAATATACTGTAGAAGTAAAAGCAGAAGGTTTATAATGTGCCGCGAATAGAAAACGCGAACGATATAGACCATGACCATCGTAATATGAGTTGTTAAATGAAGTTTCATCAGATATGTAGAAACTCATAGAGTTTCTATATATCTGATAAAAATACTTATATTATATAAGTCATAATCTCTACTTCATATTTATGGATTTCAGGACAATATACTGATTTAAACAACTAACATCTGCATGGGCTTCTGCATCCTCCACATATTAGTGTTCTTGTAGTTGTTGCCACTTATCACGGTGAACACACCTATCTTTAGACTAGGGATTACAGTGATGAGGCTGTAGTGCCCGTAGGTGGAACCTCCGTGGTTAACGTACTTGTACCCTGGTGATTTCTTTAATTAATCAATCATGATGCAGCTACTAGTACAGGTAGATAAAGGTTTGGGCTGTGATACTTTTAAACCAATCTATGATGAAATAATGTGCAAGTGTAATATCCAACTAGTTGGGTATATAGTATTTTTAATATGCAACTATTTAACTTTGAGACATAATTACGAGCCCTCCAGCGTCCAAGTAACTAAGTAATGTCCGACCGAATAAATTCCGATAGGGTAGTTGACTATTGAATTTCGCTTTAGAACAACATATTGCATACAGCACAGTACCTCTGTATGTTCCGATGATGTGCCCATAAGCATAACCACTGTCTTTGAAGGTAGCGTTGAAGGTAGGTTTCTCTATTAATGTGGAGTCCCCTAACTGCATACCCATCAGTGTCTTTGGCTCTGTTATACTCTCCATAACGTCCCTGAGGAAGAAGATTCAGACAAGAGAACAAACAATTCAGTAGTTTTTAATTACCACAAGTAAAACGACCTTTTTACAATTGAAATATAAATTTAGGTAGTGTGATCGCGATCTTGTAGGTCTAGAGGAATTAAGTTTTGGTTTGTAGTGTTTTTATATAGAAGGTTGATTTAAAATCAATTACTTGCTCAGCACGGCTCCATCTTCACCGTTCAGTGCGTCTATAACACCGATCATGAACTTGGCCATATCACCCGCTGTAGATATGATGCCACCTGAATCAGGAACATTAATTTATGTGCGAGACTGTTGGTAAACAGGTCAAACGGAAATTAATGAACCTAATGCTCAGTATGGTGCTATCCCGATTCGAATGGTGCAAGCGGTACCAGAGGCTCCCTTGGTACCAGTGGAACTAATATATCAATGACACTACAAAACATAGTTTCAGTGTGAGCTGCTTCTCTCATACCTGCTGGGTTGTGTATCCCTATGAACTTCATGGCCTCTTTAGGGACGGGGTACAGAGTACTGCGGTCCTCTCCTTCCTGGTACGGCTGAGCAAAGTCTTTCTCGCTTAACGCGTCGAACTCGTCGTCAGACACAAAACATGATTGTTTCATTTCCAGCGGATCAAATATTGACTCTTTTACCTGAGGTGAGTTGATGTGAACAGTTTGTAATATTTACCCTGGAGTGGTGAAGGTATTTTATTCGCCGTTCTAATACATAAAGACAGGCTTGTTATTTTTAACAAGCCTAACAAAAAGAAAAAGAATCGTATATAAAGACTAGTCTGTGAATAAAAACCTGTTTCTCGAATGATTTCCCTCCGAACAACTCCACGATGTATCCCACCAGAGTGTAAAACCAGTTATTGTAGTAAAATGAAGATCTCATCTCCAATTCCTGAAATATTCGCTTTGAAGATGACGGATGGTTTTACAGAATTTTCTCTCCCTATGCGTCAACATGTAATGGTGTTTTGAGCGTTGGCAATGTTGATTAACAATGTAATTGTATTTACCTTTTTGATGAAACTATATTGACAGTTAAAACCACAAATATGTTTGTTCTCAAGAAATAATGCTGTTAAAATTGTTAATTGTGCGGCCATCTGCGTTCACTTAATTAAGTCATTACTTATTAATGACGTGATTAATTTTATGCAATTTTATTGAATTGCACGCATTTGTCATTATCATCGCCAATAAGTTATAATTACTTTAACAAGAACATGTCATGATTTATTAATTTGTTTTAGAACGCTTCTAGAAAGTTGAATGCCTCCTGCTCGATCAAACGAGGACTTATAATAATTTTACAATATTACATGGTTCATTAAGTGTCAATTGCAAATTACTCTTTTATTTGCCACTGGATAGTGTTGCAATATGTTACCAGCGTCTAGCACCTGTGTTTAATTTTATGACAAGTATAAACTGTCTTTCAGAAAGTTAATAAATATATTTTCAAATCAGTAAAAAAAACTGGAGATAGATCCAATTTGACAACAACGTTGATTGATAAAAGCTCAAAAAATAACCTCTTGGAAAAGTGGGATAAATTTGGTGACCCAATCTGATCGGGAGATGTCCCTGTCGTCTGTGAGTAACCAGTCGTGCATCTTAATACCAGTTCTGTGCGTCATGGCATCTTCTAGCGTGCACGTTTTGTTCCTGTACCACAGATTGTAATTAAAATATGTGTATCATCATACATTTTTAATAAATTTAATGCAAAAATTATTGTCTTATTTCATGCATAGAATTTGAAGGTCAGATTCAATCAAAACTTACCTAAAGGCACCTTGCATGGACATTTTAACGTTTTTCTTGGCAAATATATCTGTAATCTTCTCCTGCCAGTCGTAGTGACCTTCTAGCACTTGTTTACCAGCCATGTAACCAGTAAACTCTTTAGATATCGACCCTATACTAAACCTGAAATAGAGAGGTTATGTGTTATAGCTGGAAACCATAGTAAATTTCATAGTAGCCCTAAAATTGTTTCAATCCAAGTTTCACGGAACTGTGCCCTGTTCTGCTTTTAAACGTACAAAGCAGGGTTTCCCTATTGAAGCGTTGAAAGTTTAATTTTTGGCCACCATATGTCATGTCATCAAACTGGAAAGTTAGCTTTTAAACAATAAAGTTGGTGACAGAAGGACGTGAACCTGGTATTGTTGGTGACATCAATGTTTTTTTCTCTGTTAGCCTTACCGTAGGCTCTATTCAACTCCAACTTTCCATCTTTCACAGCACTTATAGCGAAAGCCGCCGTACTAGGGTTGCAATCCTGAAGTACAATTGATATCAGTATTTCTTGGAAAGCTAACTTTCAAGTTTCAAAAACGTTACAATCATTGAAATTTCTGCAAAAAGTCGATGTCGATTTTGAAGAAAAAAATCGAATAGAATGGTTGAAGTGAAAAAAACTGCAAATGTCCCAAATTTCATTTCTTCCTAGAGGAATTAAATATTATACATACCATCATCTTTTTGAAGAGAGCGTCATACTCATCAGCCACCACTAAATGCAGGGGTAGGAGTAACAGTACACCCAGCATCCTACATTAGTCGTTCAATCCGGCTCTTTGTTGGTAGTCCTCGATAATATCCCACTTAATAGTAGATACAAATCAAATACTCTCACCCTGTCACTGTCAGTTATTCCTCAGGTTTGTGATGAATAAGTCAATCTTTACTTGATTTGTATAGGTTTCTGATCTGTGACTTGAAGATGTGTCTTTTTTCTTGGAGTTCTTTCAATGCCGCTGCTACAGATCTTCTTTTACTCGACGAGAACTTTAAACTTAATCCATAATCAGTTGCATTACGGTCCTGGCAAAAGTTTAAAACGTTAAAATCATCAAATGACTAATCAAGATGGTCTTAATACTTCCAACACCAGTACTATCTCACTATGTAACAAATATCCATTTCGACTTATATCCTCGTATGGCGAGCTCGCAATCTCAGAGGAAAACTACATTTTTCACCGTATCAATAACATTACATGGTGTCTCTTTGAATTATACCACATCAAACAATTTAGTGACAAATTGCACCTGGTTAACTTTAGTCAACTGTGACAAACGAAGTTGTACCCTAGGAATGAAGACATTTACGACAAAATTAAAGGTAAATTTATTACATAAAAGTGGCTTAAATTGTAGGAGCTGGAAATAAGTTGGTCCAAGGAACGGATCTCGGCACAATTTACCTACGAAGGTAACTGTAACAATTGTAAGCTGAAAGATACAGTGGTATAATGGATATACACATGTAATATGATCGCCATGTGAAAATAAGTTACGGCCGGCAGAACAATCAGTAGTTCGTTTAAAGATTGGATCTTGGAAGTTTGTAGCTGGCGACCATATAAAGTTGCTGGCAATATGAGCTGTTTTGACACATGATCCTGTGAAACCCTGACTAAACAGAGCTGATAGAAGATTCACACTGGTGTAAAACCAGAGTAAAAATAAAATCAACCCTTATTTTAAATTATCTCTACCCAATCTCAACCGAAACTTTAACCTAACTCAGACCAAATCTTATCTTGAATCAATCCGACATCTTTGCAGGGGTTGATAAGGGTTAGATTAGGGTCAGATAATAGTCATTTAAGGGCCAGATAATGGTCATTTATGAGTCAGTTAAGGGTCAGTTAAGGGTCGGATAAGGATCAGATAAGGATAATTTAAGAGTCATTTTTCAGAGCAGTTCTCTGGGTACAGTTAAAAATGCAGTTGGCAACGTGTTGCTCTTCTCATTTAAAAACACTTAATTAATAGCTAATTTCAAACACAAACAAATATCGCAAAGGGTTTTCATCCCGTTGCTGGTAGTGCCACAAAGTAAAACAAAATTTAAGCTCCAATCTATTTTAGTTTCAGTTAAATCTGTAACTCAATTTTTCGTTCAATTTTTCGTTCAATTTTTCGTTCGAAAGGAAGTAATCTCAGTAGATTCACTATCCAAATCATCAAGCTAATATAATGCCAAGTAAGAACAGACAAAAGTACTCAATCTATAAAAGTCGCTGCTCGCAAATATAACGCGAATAATTAAAAAGCGCAACAGCTGCAATTGTTGGGGGCCGGAATAGCTCAGTGGTTGCGGTTTCAGACACCTTCCACTCCGCCACATTTTACCATGTCCGTGTGTCAGTTAATTGCATGAATTGTCCAGGTAATTGTTTTACTGTACAGCATTGAGAGCTTCTTCTTCACCGTAAGTCGCGGTATTTGCCGTTCTACAACCCCTCACAGAAATGCTCTAACTCAATCACCCGCTCCACACCTATCGTGTTAACAACAATTACACCTCAATTGTTTCCACTAAATTGTATTACGTCACATGGGAATTAACGGGGAGGGGACCTCTAGTGGCAGTGATTGTCTGATAATATCGTGCTATAAAGGCTAGGTTACACCCGGGGTCTAGGGCACGTACACAATGGAACCACAATTAAAGCATTAACCTCAGATAATGGCTTATTAAAGTAGGACTGGTCGTCTAACACTGTGGGTCTAGGTCTAACGTAAAACCTAGTGGTCCCTTGTGGTAAATCTAGCCAGACGACCGGAGTTCGGGTTTAGGGGTGGAATTAAGGTTTCCGGTCTAATTTTGTGGTGAAATATGATTTGCAAGGTTTAGGGCTAACAGTAAAACTTAATCCGATAGCTGGAAAAAGGTTTAGTGATGATTGTGGAATCTGACCTCAATCGAATGTCTTGAAGCGTCTAAGAAGTAAGGATCGAAGATCATAACAAAGAAAACGAACAAATATTTAGCTCGCATCTGTGACACAGCAAAATATCAGTCTAACAAAGCAATACTTATTTACTTATCAAAAAAGCTTGATAATTTGGTGCTTAAATAACTTAGCTATTCAGCGAATTTTCCGGTTCATTTTTTAATAATTGATGGTAGTCATCTAGTTACGACATCAAGTTATGTCATGAATGCTAAAATTTGTCTCTTTTCCTGCTTTGGCCAGGAGAAAAGTTGAAACTCGTGCCAAACTTACTTTAATTTAATTATGAGGTATTTCATTCCGTTATAAGGATTGCTTCCTACTTATCTCTAAACACAATGTCGTTGGTAAAATATGAACATTTCATTTTCCAAATCATCCTTTTATCTGATCTAAATCAAATTTGTCCTATAAAAATGTTATCATATCCGTATAAAAGTATAAAGAGTATGATATTTGTAACATGCTGTCAACACAGCTGAATGAATAAGCAGACACCTGCAAAGACGAAAGTGAGCTCGCAAGGGAACTGGTGGCCCGAAAACAGACTTGAATTATTCATAATTTGATCATGTCAGAACATGTTGTTGTGAAAACTACGTGCACTGAACCGTCACGTTCTCCAGACAAAACGAATTCAGGTTAAAACAAGGTCTGTTAGGACCATCATTAGATGCCAACAGCATATACTTACGCCAACTGCAGTGTAACAAAGTCAATATATGCGGCTTTGAAGGCCAAAAGTTCTCATTGCACACCTTGGTGGTTTTTCAAAACATAAAGCACGATTTTAGAAGCGAATGTGTTCTTTCTGTCAGTGTCTTTTAACATATGAAAACTTCCAACATGTGTCATATAATTATGCTTTGCCTACAAAAATAGTTTAAACAGATTTTAGATTCTACTTAGTTTCTGTGTGATCTATCTTCCACACGTGGGCTAACAAGAATTTCCACCATTACAATCCAAGTATTTATATCCTTATATTAGTTTTTACTTCCTGGCGATATCTGTCAAAAACGAATAAATCTTCAAAACTATCCAGATTAAGATATGCAATGAATGTAAAGTTCGAATATCTCGGTAACAAAATAACCTTATATTATACCGTAAACAGAATGGAATTAATACCATATTAGCATGTATTCCAAGTCGCCCTGCAAAGCATTTGCACACGGCTAGATTATGACACAAATCACAAATTTATTTATTATCCGTTAATTGAGGAATTCTTTTTGATGCGTCACTCTAGAAGATAAATTGGCAGGAACGTCCAGGCACCAAATTTTTCGACGATAAATTAAAGGAATTTTCAATGCAAAAAACACCCATCTGTTTTTTGGAAAGGAGAAGTGACGTTGAATGTTGGATTGTAGCGTGAGATTAAACTTCCACAAACGTCAAACCCACAATTACATTGAGCTATACCGGTGCAATTCTTCAAACCTACGACTCTTCATATCAAGTATTAACTGTGTAAAAAAATATCTTCTGCAAAAATTAGAAAAGTTCGATAATCAAAATGCTCCTCAACCTTACAATATAACGTCTTGAATATATTTCTTTGGAGAGATGATGATTTCGAAACTAATTTTATGTAGAAAAGCTACTGCTGAATCATTAAAATAGCGGAGTTGGTATGCGTTACTGGCGGACTCCCAAAAAAAGACCCCGCTCCTTAGATTGAACACAAGGATTTTCACAGAACTAGTTAGGAAACATAACTTATGTGTTGTACTTTGTGAATTAATACCGCCTTGAGGCCCGCATATTAGATTTTATTTCATTTCGTTATACTTACAAAGAGGCATTAGTAAAACAAGAGTCTTAACATCGGACATCGTTACTTTTGTGAAGAGCCGAAATTGTAAAACAAGTTTGTAAGCCACCTCTAAAATATAGCATTTGAGCGTACCTCGAAAATCTATACGTATCGTTAGGCTGAAAAAGGAAACAAAATCGTCTCGTCCATGATTTTGAGACGTTCATCCAAAAGTACTGAAGTAGTGATGGAAGTTAATTGATCATCATATTATGAACATGCTGGTAAGTGGTAAGGATAGGTTTATAAAATGTACCGCGAAATATGCTGCTTGTTGACGACAGGTAAGGTCTGTTCATGAACTAGTTCCAAGTCAAAGACCGTACTATTGCATACGAAATAAGAAAGTGAGAAGCAGCACACTTTCATGTTTAACTCCTGTTTAATTACTGTTTAATTCCTGTTTAATTCCTGTTTAATTCCACTAATGGCCGAGAAATTGCTCGTTTATTGGACGGAACCTGAACGGAAACAACGAGGAAAAGAAGGAGTCGTGAAAGCACAGTGTGAAAGTGATGCTAGATTTGGAGAGAATGTCGCGAAGGAGAGGGGTGAGATGTTGACTGAACGAATTTGTGGAAACAATAATTCAATAAGTCACGTTGATGGGAAGTGAGTGTGAGGACGGTAACTTCACACTCTCTCCGGGTCTGTCCGCACTCTTCAGGGTTAGTTTGTAGTTCAATTACTAGTGTGGTTTTCATTCGTCTATTGTCATCAACTTGTCTTTGTGTGATACTCGAACTGCACTGGACACTTGACTAGTGATTTACATATTTTCTAAAGGGGTTTCAATAAAAAATGTTTCATCACAGTCTTTACAGGCGTTTTCCGAATTTCTATATACTGAATCTAACCAACCCATCGTTATAGTGTTACGGTTTTGTTAAGGGTTAAGGTTCGGGATAAAGTTATGTGTGGGTGTTTAATTAAGCCTCAGTTTTAGGGGTGAAATGTCGAACAGGATGGACAGAATAGGTAAGGGTGGTTAAAGTTTAGAAATGCGACCATTCTACAGACAGTAAGCAGATCTAATGGGGTTTTTATTAACTGTATGATTTATTGATGAGGCCTAGAGATATAAATCTTCGTTTGCTGAAGAAGTGGAAATCAGTGTAATAATTTGACGTTTCGTTTGAACATGCATGACCAGAATTGAAAAGATTCAACCAAAAGAAATTATTGATAACATAAGATATATCAGTATGCATTAGTTTTCTGAGTAATAGGTCAGTAAAATGCTATTGACAGTAACAAACTAT